TTTTTTCCGTGTCTGTTGCTATTATTTTTCATTTATGACGTAATTCTATCTGTCTNTTTTTTTTTCATGCATGATTTCCAGTCTATTATATACGCATTACAAGCGTACGTAAATAAACGTTTTTATCGATGACGAATCAGTGATTAATGTCCGACGAATGCATGAAAATCGACAATGAATTATCGGCTGGAATCTGTTTGCGTCTGAAGCCAGAATTTTCCGAATTTCGATGAAAATTAGCACTCGTTAAGCAAAAAGTTAACGAGCAGTTTTTATATTTATCCTTAACCATTGTGTTCCCGTACAAATACCTCGAACAAGATAAATCAGATATGCACAGACCGAACGAATGTATTCGTGCAGCAATATTCGAGTAATCGCGAAAAAAGAGAAATGCGCTTTATTAATACGGTCTCGTATTCGATTGAACGCGTGGGAATAACGCGAGATAAAGAGAAAGAGGATCTTGTCGCGAATTTGTATCAAAAGAGATGAACGAGAAATTTAAAATTTAAATTCTAAGTCTAAAGGATAAGTCTAGGATAGATAAACAAAGGGAAATGCAAAATGGAAATTTTGTTCGGTTCCGAGCGACGCATCAATCTACGTTAAAGAACGTCAATGCGTGGAAAAGAAGCGAAAATAGCTCTCCTAATTAGTCGAATCGCGCCATGGTCGAAGATGGATGGACGATCGGTCAACCATCTATCGGTGATAAATAGAAGCAGAAGGTGAAAATAACTCGAAGCGAGAGAGTTTTTGTTCGCGGTGACTGTTGCCTACGAACGATAAAAAGAGAGAGAGAGAGAGAAGAGAAAGGGCGAAGGAAGGACAGACGAGAGAAAGAGAACGGTTATTATTTTACCGAGCAGATATCGATTCCATTCGACGACCTGCCGTGACCCGGCTGCATAACTCATAACGACGCGTGCACTAATCCTTCTCTTTCTTTCCAATCCGTGCAAAACCGTTTCTTTTCGTTTCACGCGAGCACCGTGTATCGGGTGTCACCTTTTTCGCACTATAAACATTCGATAAATCCTTCATCTTGAGAGAGAACGGACGATATAAATTCAAAAATATAATCGGTAATGTAACATTTTTACGTCAAACGTTTCGAACTTGTGAAAGAAAAGAAGGAAAATGACAAACGTTGGAAAAAATATATTAAAAAAGGAATATGAATGGATGAGAAGAGTTTTAAGAACTTTTTGTCCTTTGTTCCATATTCGATATACGAGAAAAGTTATCGGTCCAGCGAGTCTTTTTATTCGTTGGATGGTTGCACGCGCGTACGCGAGATGTTCTAAACTTCCAACGACATACGGCGCTGCGCGCGGAGAAAAAGGGAAGCCACTGTGAATGGGGCTATTAGGGAAAAAGGGGGTCAGATGCGAGTGCCGCGACATGCACGGTGTTACAGCGAACCGCGATGCACGTTAAGAGGAGGAATAATAAAAGAGAAGAAAATAAATACGTCGAACGAGTCGAATTGGAATTGGAAAGAAAGAAAGGAAAAACCGATTGATCAATAGAGAAAAAAAGAAAAAAAATTAGAAGAATAGGCCGAAAATTTGAAAGGATACGGATCACCTATAGAAAATTACTCCTCGAAAAGATATTGTCGAGTCGCTCGGTCGAGGCGCGCGTTACGCGTCTAACCTTCGAATGGAAGTATCCAACGTGCGAGAAATTTGTGTTATACGTGAATACGATAAAATCTTCCGTTCTTTATTCGTAACGCAGTTTATTTCACAATACGATATGAAAATATGTCTATCTTTGATTTATGAATTCTTTTTTTTATAGTCTTATATTATTGTCGTCTACAATAAAATTTCATTGTGGAAGAAACGAGCGCGATATAAATAAATATTAAGGTGGAAATGATAAAGTATCGTTTTGTAACAAGTTTGTAACAAGCATTGGTAACGAGTTTCGACTTTGATTCGATTTAAATCGTTAAAGCTGCCGTCGGCCCACCTTTTAATTCAATTTTCGCAATAAGTCGATTTCCAATGGATCGTGCGTGGAACATTTAAAATGAACCGCCTAGTAGTGGTATACGACAGCTGCACGACGCAACAGCTGACGCACACACGTATGGAGAGGCGAAACGCTTTGTAATTTCATTGTTTGCGCTTCGACTCGCATCCGGGCTTATGCGTGTTTTGACGAGACCGCGCATTGAATAATTAGGCAACGAAACGTAATGCGTCTCGAATAATTATTACACCCACGTCGAGTAGTCGTTGCATCATCCGTTATTCGGTTCACGATAAAATTGTTACGATGATTTATAAAATGCACCGAATGAATGACTCGATCTCGTCGTAACTCAAAACCACTATGAAAATTTTGCGTATAATTCGACGTATAATCGATCGAAATACACGGAATGGAAACGAACACGATTCTCAACTTGTTTCGAATATCGTAATTCGTAATTTAAGCTTAATCGCCCCCCGATGTTTCTAGCTCGATCAACTCGATGTCAACCGACTGATAAATCCTTAATTGACACGTATCGGCGGGTCCTGTTTATATCGTTGCCCGTTTAACGAAACACGCGATTGGCGGATTACTTCGATCGGAAATGATGGGGCGTACGAACAAAGGGAGAAAAGCAACCTCGCGTAAGCTGTTACCCGGAGAATTTAAGTGCTCTCTAGCATCATCTCACCGAAATAGAATCATCCACCGTTCGAACAGTTGAGGGAACGTTGAAACGTTTCATTAAAACTATCTTTCGAAAAATTCGAATAATAAATATCAAATACGTTCGAACGAAAAATTATACATATATATATATATATAAAACGAAATCTCAAAAGTCAACAAAGTTTCCATCATTATCCCCTCGTATATTTCGCGCTGGTTATATTTAAAGGAGATGAATATCGATTTAGCAAAGTTCGCTGACCTTGTGATGAGAGGAATGGCCTGTGTGATTGGCGGAGGTGTGATTTCCGGCGGGAATAGATGCCAGGTCCTCGATGGTTAACTCGGCTAAGGCGTCGTTGCCGCCGCTGCAACCGCCCAGCAAACCGGCCGCGATCACACCGCCGCTTCCTGGACTGTTCCCGATGCAACCTCCATCCGACCTTACGACGTTCGCCGAGGGTCTCTTCTGCACCCTCCTCGAGGTCACCAGTTCCTTCACCCCTGACAACTCTCGCCTCGAACCGCCCACGTATCTAAAAAAAGCACACGCGGATTCTCCTCAATGTTTTTCCTTCCATTTTTTTTTTTTCTTTTTCAACGCTCGACGATTCTTTTTCTCTACGCGTAATATCGTAATAATAAATGTAATATCATATTCGATATCTCTCTTTCTTACTCTCACGATTATATATATATTCTCAAGTTTCTTTTTAGAAGAAGAGACATGTAAAGAGAGAGAAAGAGAGAGGTTTTCTATTCGCAGTATCTACTACTTGGACGAGCCGATATATATATACGTGGAATATATAAAGATCGGACG